TGGGTGGCAGGGCCGACCTAACCGGTGATGCAGGGGCTATAGTAAACGGCGCTGCTGGCATCGGACAAGGCGGATATCAAGCTGCTCTCCTCGCAGGAGATGCTCCTAGGAGTCACTTTGGACAGGGAGACATGGTAAGGGAGTCCCGAGGCTTCGGGACGAGTCCTGCTCATGTTCAAATACTGGTCAAACTCGTTGCGGTCAACGTCTGTCCACAGCTCGGTTTGGTTCAAGTGATCCACGCTCTCCATGTGGTGGGCTTCGGGTGGGGGCGAGAGCTGGCCCAGGTGGGCGGAAAGCCCGTTCTGAGTTCCCGAGCACATCTGGTTGTAGTATATGCTGGAGGGATGGGGAGTCCTCATGGCGTCGGCCAAGTGCGAGGGGGTCTGCGCGTAGGGCACGGCCACGTCCCGCCCCATGCACTTCTCCTGGGGAAACTCCATCTGGTGATGGTGGTGGTAGCCCCGAAAGGGCATCATGTTGCAGTCATCCTGCATGTGCGGAGGGAAAAACGCCGGCTCGGTCTGTTCCAAGACATCCAAGGGAGACATCTCAGGAGTTGGCAAGCCATAGTTTTCAATATCCGACCCCATGGAGTGGAGTTCTCTGAAGTGGTTAAGTGGAGGAGGCTGGGGGTGGCCCGGCTGGCTGCCGCCATGGTGACTCATGCTGAAGTTGTCACTGCAAGGCTGGGAAAGGTTATGCAGGAGGATATTGGGTTCCATCCTCTTGATTTTCTTGGCTTGCTTCTTTCTTCTTGGGCGGTACTTGTAGTTGGGGTGATCCTGGAGATGCTGGATTCGCAGCCGCTCTGCCTCTTCCACAAAGGGACGCTTGTCGCTGGCGCTCAGCGCCTTCCATGACTGGCCTGGAAGAGGAAAGCAAAGCTCTGTGACACTGGCTCGGCCACCCGGTGCTGGCTGGGACACCTGGGGAGAGGGCACCCTTGGGGTGGGACGGGCTCCCTCGGCTGGTTCGGCACCTGAGCTGACATGAGGAGGGGCTGGGGAATGGGAGCCCAAGTGA